GGCTAAGCTTATTGGCTCGCTAGCCTTTCCTTCTTCAAGAATCAAAAGAAATGAAATTAGACTCGAACTTCTTCTCTTACGATATTTCCCTTCATCAATCTCATAAACCTCGGTGTCACTAAAGAAGTAGATCTTCTATTCCACGATTTTATCCCCTCCCGTCCTTTACTTAATTATCGTAAACCTCTCCCTGTAGAGCTCTATCTAGGGATAGGGCGTAGGCTATTGAATCGATAGGTTACCAAGTTACACTTTCCACGGTAATAGATCTCCTTTTTCACCGGATTCGACGTGAGCTTTGGACGTGTGGGATTGCTGCCAATGAGTGCCTGTGCAAAGGACTCTAATCGTGGCTGTTGAGGGTCTGATGCTGTGCGCAAGAGATGTGGCGGCATCGGAACATCCATGCTAGGGCTAGGGTTTCCTGAAGGCGGGGCGGAGGAAACCATTGCCGGCGTCGGGGACCCAGAAGCCTGGTTGCCGGAGGCCATAGAAGCACCATCCTTCGTCGAGGTACCATTTCCGACCTTCGCCGTTGACGCCTTTGCCTATCGGCCTAGGATTCGGATTGAGGCGGGCAAGCCCTCGCGTCGTTCGCTGCATGTCTTCGGCCAGGCACTCTTTCCATTGCTTCTATCTCGGGCAGCTCTAACTCTTTGGACTACTTCTTTGGCCTTCTCCTCGGGCGCTGGCCAGTCAGTTCTGGGCGGGCAGGCACATCACTGACCCCTTAGCTGCTTCCCCTAAGTAGTGGTCAAGAAAAGACTTTGTTGGGTACCCATTTTCTGAGGTGTAAAGGGTAAACTACTTTGATAGCGGCGTAGAAGTCCTGCTGTTCGCTTCGGAGCTGCTTTGTCGCGTTGGAGAGGGGAAAGCGTTTTCCAACGAAAGTAGGGTGTAGAGGCGCGATATAATTGACCTTTTCTTCGTCCCAAAGGTGGTGATAGAATCTCCTATCCATCAGCCCCAACATCAAGGCATGAACATTTCTTCTTCTGGGCACTTATTGACTATTAAGATTTCTTCTTCTTCAACCATGTTGTTCCTTTGCTGACCCAGTCGATGCACAAGAAGCATCACATCTTTCACTGCTTCAATATCCGGTTCGGGCGGGTGGATTTGGATTGCCCACTTCTTCATTCACCTGGGGAACCTGGGAAAGGTATTTCGGAGTCGACAAAAACCTCCAAAAGCAGTCTCGGGAAAGCGGAAACTCTGTATCGACTAAACGAACAACCTCTTAGCTTAGCTGAGGGCTCTAGACCTTCGACGCCCTGTGTTTTTGAATGACATGGGAAAGTCATCTAATTGAAGCAATTTATTCAGCATCAGTTCGACCTATATAATAGAAGATGACAGCATCCGCAGGAGCGCTACCAGTTTCTACCATCGGTCACCATTCAATCCACGGGCAAGCCCGGAAAGACCGAAGCACCTCCTTATTAGTAGATTAGAGTCGAAAGCGAGCCCTTCTCAGGCTCAGATTGAAGACGACAAGTCATTTCGTATAGTAGACGCTCATAGTTTAACGAAGTCCAAAACCATAGCACCCTTTCATTGCTTTCCTTGGCTGACCAAAGTCAGGATAATCGGCTTCAGTTGGAGTTGAGGCCTGGCGTGGTTGGAACGAAAGCCCCTGACCTTGTACCTGGCCGCCTAGTTGGACCAAGCTTTCACGAAGTCTTTAGAGAATCCGATCTTCTGTCGCTTGATCTTTTCTCACGCCAGTCGAGTCGAATAGATCTCGTACGAAGTAGGAGACATGAGTTGGAGTGTGAGGGAGGTATTCAACTCGCTTGGGGTAAAAGAAGAGACTGAACAATTGGACATAGCAATAGCATGCTCATTACTTAGGACGAAATACTAAGCGACTTCTTGAAACCTTACCCGGAAACCGATTGAAAGGGGTGGACATCCTGGATATCCGATCCGGAATTGCTTGACCTTTAGTTTAGCCCTACTTCGCTTTTGTGGGAGCTTTGCTTTCCTTATTAGCTAGCACTGGAAGATTCGTAGCATGGGCAGTCGATTACTCAGGGGATCATACTCACGTATCAGACTACGGGCCCGTCGCACCCGCCACTTACCAGTCATCACATGGCCCACTCAACGAGTCCACTCAGCTACCTCCCTTCGGACCTAGTTAGCTTTTTTCATCTTACCCTTCTAGTTGACGAACCGCTTTTGCTTTCATACTTGCTGGCTGGCCCGCTATGCTTGACCCACAACTATTTATACCCTTTTAGGAACATCAGACCCCGAAAAGAAAGTGTGCTTGCTCTGTCCCCAAGGGCGATCCCCCCTTCATCTCCAACCGGGAAGTCAGTCTTCACACTACGAACTTCCTGTGAACCTAAAGATGCTCTATTCTCTGGTGCTGAAGTGCTTCCAAACGTCTTGAATCTTGGTTTATCAGTAGCGAGCTTAAACCTTCTACGCGGCCCCACCTAATTGAAAAAGCGATCCTCACTTCGTCTTTGATCTTCTTGTGGCGGTATACGAAGATGTCTCCTTTCAGCACCTTCGTGACCATGATAGTTTGTGTGCTCCCTTGACCTTGACATGAGAATATACTGTGCCCCCTTCTAATGAGGTCTAGATTGACTTGGAATTGATAGAGCTGGTCTTTACCCGACTTCTAGCGCCCTTTCTTCGAACCAATGCAGTTTCAATATATATTTTGTTGCCTTCTTTTCACCTCTATACCGCCTCTCTTTCATCTTCGGATTTTTCTATATGAAGGATTACACTTGTCAACTAACAATATCGTAGATGAGGATCATGAACGCGATCTAGTTGATTGATCAGTCACAATCCCGCAACTGTCAATATATTGGATCACTTTCTGCTGATTGTTTAAGCCAACTCAATACTTACAAGAGTCAGCGTCTTACCAGTTTACATCGTATCCAGCAGCAGCTCTGGGAGCAGTAGAACTTTGTAGACTCATTCGGCATCTGTCCTAGTAATCCTCCCAAAACTACGACTTATTAGTTCATTCTTGGTGGAGCATCCCTAAACCGACGCACTTCTCCCTAAGCGACTAGCCTCCCCCACTAATAAGAAGCGGCCTATCCATTGCTTTCAAGAGGAGACCGTTAATAGTTCATTTAGGCTCCGAAGCAGAGCGCACATAGAAAGAATTAGAATCCATAGAGGCCCAAAAGAAAAGACAAAAGAGTAATAGGAAGGTTTAGCGAAGCGAAGCAAAGAACAAGGATTGCATTTGATAATTGAATTAGTCACCAGACTGAGATTGGGAAATGACTTCTTGGTATTCGTCTTAGGACGACTCTATTCACGTGGGGCTTCCGCTAAACCAAATCTCTCGCGCTACCGCGATGGACAAAGATTGGACCAGAGGCTCTCCGAGAAGGTATGCCAATAGCGATTGTGCTATAATACTTCCTTTCTTATGCATTCTACCTTTTTACTTTATCTTTGGCATTATCAAAGACATCTTACGAAGGGCTTTCGACTAAACCTCTAGTAAGCCCAGCCAGCTCAAAACTCTATCGAGTCAGCGTCTAAAGCGTGGAAAACTTATAGTTGCCCCTTGATATCAGCATTACTACCTGCTTTCTTTGCCTCAACTCACTCTCTCGGTCAAGTGGTCAACTAAGTCTCGCTGCCTTCACTCATACGAAATTCCATGATCCTTTGGCGAACAGAAAGTATGCCGCGCCGACCACAACTGGATCGGGTAATCTTTCTACAAAGAACTTCATTCATGTCTTCACAACAAATAATAGTTGATCCTTGATAAAGATAGAATAGTGAAAGTATGTCAGGGAACCTTTAGATTAGAGTCAGTTCTTTATCTTTGGCATAGGAAGAAGACATTGAGGATGCTTAAGTAAAGGGCTTTTCGCAGGTGGACTTCGACCGCAGTAGAGCAAGAGAAATAAGGTAATTAAGGTTTAAAGAAGTCAACATTTTACACGAAGATTAAGACGAAGGAAGCACTGAACAGAAAATAGAATCTAAGAAAAAGCTCTCCCATTTGCCCGCAGCATTTGCATTTACCTAATCGATAAGAAAGCAAACGATATTCTTTGCTTCAGACAAGCAATTCGTAGAGGTGAAGGTGAGATAGGATTTCTCCTTTCATCACTCCTTCTTATTAAATTAAAGAGCGAACTTCTTTTTCTCTCCAGGGACATAAGGGAGAAGGGAAGGTGGCCTCGTTATCCACACCTCCGCTGCCAGTTGTTTACTTTTGCCGGTTGTAGACCGTACACCATCGTTTACCCCATCACTAGGAATGCCAGGCACTTCGCCTACTATACCAGAGATTCACATTTAATTAAATGGAGCTGACTCGGGGCAGAAGAAGAAGTAGGTGCAAGGCTTTTAGTCGCGACCGGCTGGGGAAAGAAGAACTGAGTAAGAAGCTCTAGCGAATCTTTGCGAAAAGCCTTTTTTAGCGCTTGTTAGCGCGCCCTCTTCCCCTTCTAAGTATGTTCCTGATGCATGAACATAGTTCTAATCGACACTTCCGGAACTTGAAATTGGCACACTTTCAAATCGAGTGGTCTTCGACCTGACTTTTTCTGAATAATGGAATGGGCCCGGTGAATGTATTGCCGGAAGCTTTTCTTTCTCGTGGAGGAGAAATAGAATTCGAATAAATAATAGTAGGCTCCTTCTACATAATATGCCTTTAGTGTCTTCATCCCGACTTCGTGAGTCTACAAGCCTTTTGAGGGGCTAGAGGAAGAGTACGGCCGTATGCGCCTCTCGACTTGACGTAGTTGTTCCAGCGCGCTCCCCTGATTCTGGGAGACGGGACTAGCCCGGTGACGGGAGAAAGACAACCAGGGTCTCTGATTCCTCCTTTGGCTGCCTTGTCACTTCGGCTGTGCTTTCGAGCCCCTAAGAAAGATTCTCGCTCACCTTTAATAATTCCATCCAATGACTTAGGAGAAAGATGCTCAGTAAGTCGATGAAGCATAGCTAAGACCAATTTCTTTCTGGTGTACACAGCCTGAATCTGTGCTAACTAGACGATTTACCGCTACCGGTGTTACCCACCGTAATGAAATTGTTAGATAGTTAGGCCGGTTTGGCTATTCATCACTATAGCTGTGGGCTGAACTGGTGAGTTAGCTTGGCCTATAAATACACATCCATTTTCCCATTCCTCTCATCAGACTTTAATAATGAATATCCATTTTCTGAGATGGAGATCGAAGGTTTATAATTTCCTTATTCGTATTATGTTGCTTTAGGTTTGATGGTAGTATTCATGATTTCAGTAGGTCTATATACCTTAGATGTAGATCCTATGACAACTGAAAGTGTAAAGGAATTAATCTAAAACTAAAATAATGATGAATTACATAATCTAACTCAAATAAAGAAGAATGAATGCTGTCCAGTCGAACCTTGGGTTCAGCCAAACATAAGAAGTCCGGACGGATTGTAGAGCAATGCCACCGCAGCATATTTTTAGATATATCATTCCCAATCCCTCGAAGGTTCCAAAATAGTACGTTCATTGAGAAGTAGGAGGGCGAAGATCCCTTACGGGTTTGCGTAAGATACCTTTGGGTTGCTGGGGGTCTTCTTCATCTGCCAAATCACCCCAAGATTTTTTCACAGCAAGGGTCATGGCCTTAGCAGCCGTCGACTCATGAGGAGCCTGGATTGCCACATCAGGAGGGGGCAGCTGCAAGCCTTGCCTAATTAACTCCAACTTCTTGCGAATTGATTCACTTGTGATCTCCGGATGAGAGGAGGAGGCGGATGACACCGAGATACCTACTGTATCCGTAGGATCCGTGGAAACTGCAAAGCTAGTAGGCAAAGACGATGGAGGGGCTGAGACATGAGGCATAATGGCTCCAGAGGGAGCTGACACAGAAAGAGTCCCGGAAACCGCATGGGCAGTAGCCGTTGGCTCCGTAGTTGCGACACACGCAGCAGATGTCGGCTGAGTAGATAACGCCGGGGAGTCCGCTGCGGCGAAATCAACCGAGGAAGAAGCTCCCTGGATGGTATCATGGGTCTCAAAACCCTCTTCATCATCTGAATCGTCCTGTTGAAGGCTAGAGAAGAGGCAACGTCCCGGAGATGCGGATTCCAGACGTGGTAGAAGTCGTTCTAGGGATCAGAGAGGAAGCATAAAACCTACGCGACGAAAAAGGCAAAGAAAAGGCAGCCGCCGACACGAATGTGGTTAGCAAAGCATCACACAACAGTGCGCCTAATATGGTTTCTACTGACCCAGCTATCATTACTAGAAAGGAGAAAGGGGATAATAACGACGCTGGCAAGGCTAAAGTTGCATCCCCTACACCTTCGCCTCCTTCGAAGAGGGATAATACATCTTCTTCTTCGAAATCTGATGGTGAGGAATCCCTTGCATTGCAGGTTGACGTCCCCCTAATGCTAGTCCGCTTGATGGGGCGTTCTTGGAAGAAGAAGGTCCTGACTCTCAGATTGCTACTAATAACACTGCTTCTCCCAAACAGACTCAAGGTTTGGAGGTTTCATTATGTGTTTTGGATACCTCGGCCAATGAAATCAATGAGTCTGCCGCCCCGACGGGCATGGGACCTTTCTCAGAAGTGGATCCTCGACTTGCTGATATGCGTCAAAAACGCATTTTCGTAAACAGATCCAACTAGCTCCGGAGGTGAACTTGGTCCAGGAAAATGAGTCCAAGGCATTGAAAGCCCTCTCGGTTGCTGCTCGCCAATCTTTGTCTGATTTCGCAGACATGACTCTCATGGCTGCCGATTCGCCCTCAGCCGAAACTGTGAAATCGTGAATGGGTCGAGATGTTCCATCTCGTATTTGTGCAAGTTTAAGCTTCAATTCACGTAATCGATGTTATCACCTCATCCGTCATCCGTCATGCGCTGCGAAGCTGCTGTGGATAATGATAATGCCACATTGGAGCTCGGACCCTCCACATGAGCTGCAGAGCCCACGGCAGCCGTCGTAGAAATAATCGCGGTGTCCATCATGACCTGCATGTCAGCGTCCCCCATGTTTTGAGCAACCGTATCCTGTTTGGATCCGCCACTAGTGGTAGGGGATGCGACAGGGTTGTCTGTGGCTGTCGTATCCCTTTCCACATCTGCATCTCTCTGGAGAGTCTCAAATCTATTACCCAGTGAAACTTGAGAACCTCCAGGATTGGAAGTATTAGCTTGCGTCTCCTCCGAAACAGCTTTGTCTTTCCCCTTCGAAACTTGCTTCTCGCGAGAAAGTCTTTGGTCATTAACGACCTCCTCCCCGCCCGCAAACGTTGGCCGAAAGGCTCTTATCTTCCATGGATCACTAATCCACCACTATCCATCCGAACGGAATCTAGCTCTCCTTTTCACTCAAGTGAATTGGTTCATTTGCTTTTGGCATTTGGGCAAACGGCTCGCACGTGATGCTCTTTAATAGCGGTCACTATGATCCGCTTGGTAGCTAGACGGCATCTTTTTCCTTCTGCCCAGCTCCCCGAAACCTAGGTTCGATTTAACCGACGACTGGAGTCTTCATCATATATCGATACTGAGCTACTGAGGAATACAAGAAATGTATTCCCCAGACCCCCTTTCGTAATAGAAAAGGATAGTGAGAAGATGATGGTAAATCAGCTCAAGGAGCAGTCTCCACGGAATGAATCAAAGAACACGGAATTTCTCGTCGCTGAAGTGCGAAAGCTAATCTCAATAGTGGATATAGTTGATTGACTAGCTTAGAACTACGAAAGGGAGGAAGTTAGTTTAAAACAAGCTGCGGATGCTGCCCCACTCCGAGCAAGGGCCTAGCCTAATTCACGTACTACAAGGTAAGATGCTATGAGAAAGTAGTAGCTAGTCTTTAACATAATATATATCGTTCCCTTACGTAACCAATAGAAACCTAGGGGAAGCCCGGTCTAATAGCTTTCGTTTCGAGAATCTAGTGCCAGCGAGGGTTGCCCTCAACTATATACGATGATAGGGGATAACTTCTTTGCTAGCTACCAGCTAGGTGATACTATCTACAACTCCTGAAAGAAGGCCAAATAGTGTCTCACATTTAAAAGATCCTTATAGCAGCCTATAATCAATTTTCATAAGAGAAGATGAGGCATTAGAAGAATGGCTTTTGTGCCAGAACTGATTAAGAACTGCTATTTCATCCGGTTTTTTCTTTTCTTAACCGGTGTGAGAGTCTACTTCGGAAGAGAAGAAGCTGACCGCACTGATTGGATTGCTTTCGTCCTAAGAAGCAGATCCTTCGACAGCAGAAGATGCCGATCGGGAGACAGATCAGCCCTATTCGTCAATGGGTATTCTCTGTCTTATTTGCAAATGGTTACTACTCAATTCATTGATTACTGAATGTCTTGACTGCCCACAGACTGAGTTCCAAGTCAATAAAGAAGGATAAACATCTCCGCGCTGACTTCCTCTGATAGAGACTGACTATTGAAATGAAAGAAAGTAAATAGAGACGGCACCTACGCTATCTATTTAAGCGGACTCTTAATATAAAAAAGATATAAAACAGACAGTAAAGGGACATACACGCTGACTATTATTCTAGTCTGACTAGCCCGTAGGTTCTTACCATCATTGTCGTAGGTCCTTCACCTTCAGCTGCTGCTGAATAGCGTCCGCTGAGCAGGATGTGGATGATCCTGCTTCCTCTCTCGAGTGTTCCCCGCAAGGGTCTTTCGTTTCGCTCGGAGAGGTTTCCCCCAAGGCGAACTGGCCTGGTGTCTGGGGAGGGGGTCATCAACTCCTCTATTCTGGATTCGCTACAAGGCTCAAATCATGCGCTTGATCACTACTTTTCGGGAGCCGAATGTTGGTCTTCGTGCTATTCATCAATCGAAGAGGCCATTCTGTCAGAAGTTCGTAGGCTGAAAGATAGACCCGTCGTTACAAGTCGCTCTCAAAGTCCATATCTGCAACTACCGCGAGTCTTCCTCGCTCGATCTATGAACCACGGGCTTCTAAATTGGCTTTCTTCTAATACGAGATTTCTTGATCATCTTCCCTTGAAGGGACTCAGTCTATTCTCTAGACCCCGGTTGAACTGGTTTACGCGGATAATCAACTGCAAATTCATTGTGTTAAGCAAATAACTAGGCTTGATGACGAACCTTGAAATCATGCCAAAAAGTCGGGTTTTGAACACCAAAATCGCTATTTTTTTGAAAACACTTTACTATAAGAAATACTGAAAAAGTGGCCCTTCAAAAAGAGCGGTAATAGAATAGTTGACGCCAAAAAAAGGGGTTTGGTGATTTGAAAGTACGTCGATTTTCTGTTTGCAATGGTCATATCGGGAATAGGATTTCGACCCCTTCTTTTGAAAAGACTTATGCTGTAGTACACTTGGCATTATCCATTGACCCGGAGGCATGCAGAGACCTCTAGCTAACTAAGCTAAGTAAACTTGGGCTCCCATTCATCGTAGTAGCACTTCACCGAAAATGCTTAGGGCTCCAGACTCCTAAGATCTATCCCCGCGGTTGATAAAAGGAATTAGGCCTCTCGGCACGCTCCTAGCTGCAAAGTTGCTGCTAAAAAGACTTTTATTAGTTCCTTCTTGCGCCTGCATTATACGATTTCAAAGTTGTCGGTGAGCCTCATATCCGGTGTTGAAATCTCTCATCCGTATTGCTTGAATGAAAGAACTGGCTCGGGTCTATGAACCCGACTTCGGGTCTAAGAAGGGCTGCTAACGAGGCAAAAAGAAAGGGGTCGTAGAAATGGTCAATAGCCTCAGAAAGAGGAAGAAATAGGTCAAATCAAGGCCGTACCTTCGCTTCCGATCCTTCGCTTTGGCGGCTACGATGAAAGCATTGGCCCGAGGAATCTAGATCCGAATCAGAGATTTTGTTCTTCACTCCTCACCTCCTAACCAGCAAGAAGACATTGGAAAGAGAAGTACAGAAGATCTGCCTGCCGCTGGTTTGAAAGCGAAAGGCAGGAGACGATAAGTGGGACGCGAGAGTGACTCCGCAGCTAAGGAACGAAGAATCGAAGAATGGATCAATGTATGGCAGAACACGGATACGCAGGGTATGGCCGAAAGAGATAGATATTGAAAAGAGACAACGCCTGCCACCGATAGGGGAGTACGCGCTAGGATAATGAATGGTTTCCACGGAAGAGCTTCTCCTTCCCGACACACCGGCGCTGTACGCAGGAGTTGAAGAAGAAGGCGAGGCGTGATGTTAATGGCCTCCCAGTTACCATCTCTGAGGGTGCAAACTCGCGATAAAAGGCACGCTAGCCGCATCTACGCAAGTTTGACTGATACCCCTCTCATCAAGAAAGAAAGTCTCGTTGAAAGCAGGAACGAAGACTGTGACGACTATTTGAACTAGTTTCAAAGGCTTGATTGACCCTTGGGATTGAATCTGGTTAGGGCGCCCTCGTACGTAGGGTAGGTATTTCAAACCCCCCCCTGAAGCAAAGCTCGAGCAATAAATTCCTCTCCTCATCTAGTTCTTTCGTTACGCCGAGAAGAAAGAGAAAGAGGTTTGGAAGAAGAGATGGTCAATCTTCTCTTATGGACGAGACTGCTAAAAAAGAGGCTCTTTAAAGCCAGAACGAGTCCTCTTTTGAATTGGGTCACGAACGGTATTCGATTTTTTTAAAAAAGAAGCAAAGTCTTCGAATTTGGGAGATGCGAAAAAGAAGAAGGCTCTTTTTTATATTCCTTCTTCAAGATAGTACGCACAGGTGAGAACATTCCATTAGGAATGGCCTAGCTTTGCTTCTTCCTCTTTCTCTGCTTCGGTTTACCGAGGGCAATTAACATTGCGCCTTCTTTCGGTGGTACCTTTTATGTGACGCTCGTTCTCTTGGTCAAAAGCCAAAATGACTCCTTAGTGGCCAAGCCAAGAAGAATCGCCCGGGATGAGTGAGAGCTAAAAAAAAGCCTAGAGGCAATTCCTGATCTTCTCTTGATAGAAAGATCATATCAACATCGAAGACAGATCGTAGTTACGAGAAGAAAGGTATGCCGTTTTTGGATGTAGTTCATTCTATTTTGTTAACCGAATGGAATTGTTGTTGACTTTCGGTCGTGGTACTTTTGTTTGCTATTCAAACACAGAAAGAGGAAGATCGAATTCGCTCTGCTTCGAGGAGCGTAGCCTGTGTTAGGGGAGGTCGTGGCTATCTCAGATCGGGAAGAGCGGGATGCTAAAGAAAGATAGATTATGCCCTTCGGCTCAGATATTCTCTTTTATAGAATATGAATAGGAGCAGATATGGAATCTGTTGTCGGCGTAAGCGCAGTTGGAGGATCAGCATTACCAGCCGCCTTTTCTCTTCTTTCATCCGCTGTTCTTGCTGTTTCTGAATCAGTTTCATTAGGTTTGGTGAAGGTTGACCTTCTTTCTGATACAGAAGAAGCTGTGATTGGTGCGGTTTTTGCTTCTTTCCATTCCATTCTTTCTTATCCCCAGGTAGGTCAGTGACCGAGAGATTCTGTATTGAAGAAATAACCGATGCTATTTCCGCTCTTGGGGGAATAACTGCAGTTGGTGCTTTAGTAGGGGCATTCTATTCTGTTTCAGAAAGAACTCTGAGTGAACAAGGCAAAAGCCTATCTTTTCTCAAGCTTGATTCGAAATAGCTATCAGTTCAAGCAAGAGAGTCCGTCTTTCTTTGTTAAATGGCCGAATTAGCCACACCCATACATAGAATAGAAGGCGCTATGTAATAGCCCACATTCGGCTCAAGAGAGGCGAAGAAAAGATCATGCCAGTTCCGGTTTCTCAATCTTTGTTGACCACAATTTCGTTAGTGAGGGAGACCAAAAGCTTTTCGCGGACCACCGGTCTCTTACCCCAAGAGCTATCTCTCGATATGCAGAGTCTTCCCTCTTTTGCCTCAGGTCGAATGAATACGAAAGGGAGATCAATCAAAAAATAGGCCATGAATGAGGAAGTAGAGTCAGTTTCTTTCGTTCATAAACTGGGCAGAGGATCTGACAGAGGTTGACTTGCTGGCTTGTGAGTTGCCAGCTCCGTAGTTGATTGCTAACCAGAGGATAGTGACAGCCAATATTCCTATTCCTGCTTGTGTGCTTCTTTGCTATTCTTCCTGTTCCTCTTACGAGACGACCTCGGCTCAAGCTGACCCCACACCGAAAGTCGTCAAGCAGTCTTGGGCTCCATCAATCAGTGAGGAGGAAAGCAAAACCTGTTGGAGTTCCCCGCCATCACCTCGCCTAGATCCGGGGGCTTTATACCCTAAAGTTGCAGAGATGTAAGTCGCAAAGGCTACTTGCCTGCCGAGGTCAATTATATCGAGCCTAGTATCAAATTCACAAAGCAGCACATTTAGTAGTTGACATCTTTCTTTCTCGTTTTCATCGGAAAGGAGAGTTTTTCACGTTAAGCAAGAAGAGCTACGAGTTGGAGGGCTATTTCACCGACCGTCACTTCTCCTTTGTATCTGCCGAAGCGAAGACGCAAGTAGCCCAACGACAGGCTTGTGTGGAGTTGAATGACAACACGCAGAGGTCTTTTAGCGAAACTGGGGGCTCTTTGTCTAAAGGAAGGGCAAAGTCAACAGGCCAATCCCAGTTGAAGAATTGGAAGAAGCAGTAGGAGGTGACAAAGTTGGCTCGACGTCAAGGAGAGGAAAGATGTAATTGAGGCTCGACGGAAAGGAGAGGAGAGGAGAGCCTCTTTCGCCCCTCTTAAACAATATGTATGTTGTTGCGATGCACACCACTACTCTCACCAAGAAGCAGCGCATTTCCTTCTTTGCTCTCTTTTTGGAAGGAGCAGCAATGCGGTGGTACTATAGCTTGGATGCCAAGATACGGGATGATTGGCGCGAGATGGCCGAAATCTTTGTGTAGCAATTTTGGATACAATGTCCAGCTTGATCTTACTTTGCGTGACTTGGAGACTACCAGGCGGCTCCCAAATGAGACATCTTCTTCATTCATTTCCAGATGGAGTGGAAAGGCAGCTAAGATGGTCAACAGTACGCTTGAGAAAGACCAAGTTCGGACTAGCTAAAGGCACCCTCAATCAGTCTGACGCTTCAAAGTTGCTCGGATACCCGAAAAGATCTTAAAAAGATCTTTATGACAGTGTGGGTCAGATTGATAAAGTTTGAACAGAAGAAGAGGCAGCAGTACAAGAGAAGTAGCTCCAACACGAAGAAATGTGTCTTTGGAGTGTACGAACTTTTCGAAGCAGCAAGAAAACGGATGCGCGTTAGCGCAACGGCTTTCGCGCTAGTTGCTCAATCCGTTGCTTGTTCAGTGAAGTCATAAAAAAGAACCCAACAACATCCAACGTTGGCAAACCAAACCATTTACTTTACCACGCAACATTCTTTTCGTGCTTCCTGATAATATGAGTGGAAGTTTTGCGCACTCTTACTCTTCTTTGGGAACTCTTCCCATGCTCGCCTACTGCTGGCTCTTCTGCCAACCCAGCAACCATCCAACCTACCAACCATGCTCCCTTGGTCCCTTTCAACTGCACAGGTTGTTAGGAGCTACTCTACTGGCAGTAAAAAAGGCCTCCTCTCCGAGGCTTTGCTTCTCCT